CATAGTCGGCCCCTAGACCATTGATGACTATGACCTTGTCCAGTCGATGGACTACCTGTAATCGCTTAACTGCGGTGGCGCGTGTTTAGCTTACTAGCATCACACGCAGACTGCATGTCTTCAATATGTTCGAAAGCAGTGTTTATCGTTAGGAGAGACACGGCGGCCGGTTCACCGGCTGTTCCGTCTCGTTGACGCTCTGGACATTTTCTCTCGCGGCGGCGATGTGTTCCTTCGCGTTCTGATCTTGTCCACCTGCATGGACTACCTGTACATCAACAAGCGTTGCAACCCGAGTCTTTCCTCGACACAGTGCGGCGATGTTGTCGTTCGCGTGTAATCGCCGTTTCGGTTAGGAATCAGTTCGACAGGCAGTGAGGGAGGAACATAGTCGGCCCCTAGACCATTGATGACTATGACCTTGTCCAGTCGATGGACTACCTGTAATCGCTTAACTGCGGTGGCGCGTGTTTAGCTTACTAGCATCACACGCAGACTGCATGTCTTCAATATGTTCGAAAGCAGTGTTTATCGTTAGGAGAGACACGGCGGCCGGTTCACCGGCTGTTCCGTCTCGTTGACGCTCTGGACATTTTCTCTCGCGGCGGCGATGTGTTCCTTCGCGTTCTGATCTTGTCCACCTGCATGGACTACCTGTACATCAACAAGCGTTGCAACCCGAGTCTTTCCTCGACACAGTGCGGCGATGTTGTCGTTCGCGTGTAATCGCCGTTTCGGTTAGGAATCAGTTCGACAGGCAGTGAGGGAGGAACATAGTCGGCCCCTAGACCATTGATGACTATGACCTTGTCCAGTCGATGGACTACCTGTAATCGCTTAAGTGCGGTGGCGCGTGTTTAGCTTACTAGCATCACACGCAGACTGCATGTCTTCAATATGTTCGAAAGCACTGTTCATCGTGAGTAGAGAGAGACACGGCGACCGGTTCACTGGCAGTTCCGTCTCGTTGACGCTCTGGACATTTTCTCTCGCGGCGTCGATGTGTTCCCTCGCGTTCTGATCTTGTCCACCTGCATGGACTACTTGTACATCCACAAGCGTTTCTTCAACATGTTCGAAGGCAGTGTTTATCGTGAGTAGAGACACGGTGGCCGGTTCACCGGCAGTTCCGTCTCGGTGACGCTCTGGACATTTTCTCTCGCAGCGGCGATGCGTTCCTTCGCGTTCTGATCATTGCAGTGAGCACTGAAATGCCATGACCGTTTTTTTGCTACCTAGATGCGACGAGAAGTACCACTGCTATCCTCCATCTTTAAAATAAAAAATATTGAATGTGAGGTCCTTTTTATAGGAGCACTATGACGTCACCACAGGTGAGCTTCCTGATTGGACAATGGTGATGTCATCTTGTGATGTCATGACAGGAGAGCTTTCTTATTCGTTAATGGTGGTTGATGTCGTGATGTAAGCACAAAAACGCCATGTGATTGGATAACCAACTCTGGTGTCACCCAGTGATGTCAGACAAGAAAACTCTTGATGTTGGATCATCCATACTGTCATGATCTTACGAAACAAAGGCTTTTTTTATTGAGGATATTGGATAGACAACAACTGTGGCGTGATCTATTCATGTACATTGTTTTTCTTTGCTGACAAATAGTAAAATCCTAAATGTTACTGAACATTTTCTGCCAGGTGATTTCGAGATTTCGAATGTGTGTTATTTCGAAGGAGAGAGATCTGTCTTCTGCGGTATGGGTCCAACAATTTCCGCAATCCATTTAATAGTAGGTAATCCAAATGAAAGTTGAAGAATCGGAGTCGATCATATTAACCTTTACATTTCTTCCGCAGATCGAAGAACTTTTGAAGCTGGAAAGTCACTCGGTCAGCGCGAATGGGTAACACACAAACAACGAAGAGTTGAAGGCAGTTCATTTTCATTTTTAACCTCACATTAAACCACTCTTTGTCAGTGTATGGTCTTTTATCGCATGTACTCAACACCCCGGAACATGCCGGAGTATGTGCCGCTTTTTATTACTTTTAAAATATTGAAATAAGTAAGTAAATTCAGCTTTTTATCCTGAACAAACAGTTCTGTTTGCTAACGGCCTGAGATAAATGAGCGCTTGAAGTTCATTATGACAAATTACTTTGACTCTTTGTGCCATTAAACAGATTAAATATTCTTGCTTTGTCATGTCACGCACTAAATATCATGAGTGTGCGTGAGTAAACAAAGCTGGATTTGATGGCTTTTACGAGAGGTTTCCGTGTCAAACGCCCTTGTAATTTCAGTTTGTTTCGCAAGTTTTACGGGATAACAATGTTTGCTTAATCTCCGCGCAAGGAAAATCTTGACAGGCCGATTAACCTAGCACCCACCCGCTGGGAGAAATTGTCAGACAGACAGTAGCTGTACACATGTGACACATGGAGGTCAAAGGAATCTTTTGGTCGTGCTTGGTGGCTCTTGTAGGTTATTTCGGTTATCACGAGCTTAAGTTTGTCACGGTTAAGATCTTAGTGGAGAGGTTCATTCCAGCTAAACCGTCGGATGTCTTTCATGTGTTATTTGACAAGCCTGAAGTTACCGTGAAGTTTCATCCACTTTGGTGAGTCATCTCGACCGATGTCCAATTATAAAATCCTAAGTTAGCGGGAAGCACACGAAAAGGTTGTTCGAATGTGAATTTTTGTTCTAAGAGAGAAACATTATTTCTAGTTAGTCATCAGTGTTGTTGAGCATATATGCAAAATAAGCAACTGGCTCACTCATTTGTGTTCACCTTTTTGCTATCGCCTAGACTACGATTTTCTGTAGTCCGTCGAGCACAACGCGAGACACGCAAATGTCCACGCGCGTGACTGGTGGCGCGAGACGGGAGAGGCACGTGACTAAATCTGAAGAAAAAGAGAGACTGCTCGTAGTCCACGCTATCGCCAAGAATTTTGTGCAATACAAGCACAGACTAGAGTGTAGTGTTAGTTGGTACGTAATGCACATGAAATACTGTAAATACCAACATCGGACATGCTATTGTATCCAAAAAGGTTAAGTGTTAGGGTTAGGGTTAGGTGCTGAATTAGCTTCTTTGCTTGCAATTATTTTACCAGCTACCGTAAATCCTCTATTAAGCCCCTCGGGGGGCTTATTTATTTCCAACAACAACAACAACAACATCTTTCAAGGGAACCCAATGGCTGTTTTCTTTGAAATATCTGTTTGGAGAAGCAAAAATTGCCTTGAATTTTCTATAGCTTGACCGTTCCATTCGTATACAATTTTCGAAGCTAATAAATTCGATTTTCTGAAGTTTAATTTTTCCCATTTCACTTACCAGGTTAAGCTATTTTTCGTAGAGAAAGGAAACCTAAAATTTTCGGAACCGAAAATGCGATACAGAGAGGAATCACAGAAAATATCATTTTCGTAAAACTTCAAATTGTAGCTGAAATTTTCCGGAAAATAAAATGTGTTTTGAGTGCGTTTAGGAGGAAACCGTCGTTGGGTGCCCTTGATCATTTATTTAAACACGGTTGGGTTTTAAAGCTGATATAGCTTATCGGGCCGTGCAACACATTTCAAGGGTACCCAACGATGGCTTCCCCCTAAATGCATTGAAAAGTCTTAATTAGGCTATTGTTATTATACTAATTTGTCGAGACTATAGAAATCAAATCAGTTCTCCATAAAGAATTAGAATACAAAGTGGAAAATAGGCTTAGCTACATAATTCCGGAATTTTTTTTTAGAAAATCTCGGGAATTGTAGGGAAAAAATCGAGAATTTTAGACAATTTAAACATTCACCCGACATTTTGGCAACATTTCACGGCAAAAACGTTGACAAAATGTTTTTTGTTGTATTCCTACCGACCAAGAGAGGGCTCAGTCTTATATGCTACAGCAGTGACCGTCTACTGAGCACAACAAATCAGCGGTTTTTTTTTTATCAGAGTCGTCTACACTACGACTTATCAGCGGTTATTCACCAAAAAAGGCCCTCGCTATCCTCCTCGCTATTAAAAAAAAAGCCGAAATTTTTTATAAAGAATTTTTGGGAATTTTATAGAGTTTTTGGAGAATTTTAGACATTTCTAATTATTTTAGAGCTTTTTTCGGGGAAATTCCAGAAAGAAGTTTGGGCCATATTTCGCGAATTATGTAGCTAAGCCTGGCTAAGCCTAGTGGAAAAGCTCAAGTACAAGAAGTTGGATGTCATGCAACCGAGGATCAAAAACGTATCCAAACTTCCAGCTGGTTATTAAACCATCCTGGATCAGTCCATACAAAGTTTTATCGGTCGTGATTGATTGATACTGTCTATCAATTATTAGTGAAGAATAATAAGGGCGAGGGGAGGGGAGGGGGTGGGGCTTATTAAAGTTTTTTCCCCTGAGGATAGAGGATTTACGGTATGTTCTAAGAAAAATCTTGCTGCAGTCGGTCCTGCACTGAGACCAGATCACATCAGGCAAAGCCAGCGAGCTAGTTTTCAGGGAGGAATATGAGAAGCTCTTGCTCTTTTCCCTCCTCACCCCCTGAAAGCCTGCTCACTGGCTAGATCAGGCGCAAATTCTTTACCGGAATTTTGGGCGGACTACCTCTTCCAAGCTAAATTACTCACAACATATCTTTTTATTTCAGCACTGACGTTAGCAATATTATTAAATCACAAGATGAAGATGGCCATAGAACTGTCCAATTAGACTACCAAGAAGCAGTTGTTTTCTTTGGATTCTACAAGAAACAGTTAAGATTTCAAATAACTGCAACGGCACTAGAGGAAAACTCTGTTAT